ACGAGAGTTCACTAACAAACATCTAACAACGCGACGATACTCGGCGCGTTCGCCCGAGGAACCGCGCGCGCGCGATCCCCGCCCGGAAGTGACGCGTCTCGAGGGAAACGAGGAAAGAACGGTCGATCGGGAAGGGTTCCCTGCGACGTTTCTCTCGCTGGCTCGCGTTCTCGCCCGTCGATGATCGAACTTCGTGCACGCGATCGGACACGTGCGCTTGAATTTCCCGCCTTCGTCGCGCGCTCCTCGCGGGAATTCCGGTGGAGTTTTCTTATCGGGTTTCCGAGGATGGTTCCGTTGAACGTTCATTCTTGTTCATGCTTTCATCGGGGGTGGAAGGTATTTGCAAGTATTAGTCACAGATTCTTCCAATCTCTTCGATCGCAGATCAATTGCTGTTCAAAATGATTCTAGTAAGTTTTTAACCCTTTGAACTCCGTAGGCTCCAATATTGCAGTTATATCAAATATTTCAACGAACCAAAGAAACTACCCTAAAATTATATTTCCCACACATCCAAATTTTCTACTGACAAGAAAATTAAAAGATCGAAGGAATGTTGCATTTTTCATTTTCACTAGAGCTACCATAAAAAGTCGCAGTTGCTAATAAATCACAAAACCATCTGGAGTGCTAAGGGTTAAAGTGTACTTAACTGAATAGAAAATTGTGCCCAGGAAACAATTCAAACTTCATTACCTAAATTTTCTAAATAAACATTCACGCACATGACTACCAGGTTGATCTACCAATATCCAAATACCCCACTGTCACACACCCCAGTTTTCTATTGTCAGCAATATGCAAACGTCCAGCAACTCAAATCCAAAGTAAACTCCGAAGTAGCAACTCGCAGTCACCGTCCCGGAAGCCATACCTTTCCGCGCCATAACACTTTCACCCCCGGCCCGAATTGACTCAATGACTCCGCCATCGGAGCGCGCGCCCCGTGAGTCGCGGAGTGCACGAAGTTCGAAACGCATCGGTGATTCGTCGCAACGAATGTCCAGTGTGCGATAGACCCAAACTGAGCTCAGCCAGGCATCATGTAAGTAAAAATCGACCCGTGAAAGTGGATCCCGATCCCCGGGAAGCGATCGAACGGGTCCCCGTTCCGGGTTGCGCTCGGGGTTGCCCGCGAATCGAGCCGAGCGCGCTTGATCGATCGTTTAGAGTCTAGAGCGGCGTCTTCGCGCTCGGTCTCGCCTCACTAACCCACTTTCCCCGAAATCACTGGCGCGAGTATTTTCAATCGGGCAGTCGTCCGCCGTGAAATGTTGCAGAAAGTATTGATAAAGTTCCGGTCGACGCTAATGAATATTTAACGCCCGGCGCCGATGGATTTAGATCCGAGAAGTTTCCTGCAACCGGGTTTCCTTCAGGAGAGGGGAAATTTTCCGAAGCGGGATTTACCGCTTCGGTTTCTTGAGTAAAACGTCGCTTTCGGGATCTCTTTACTCCCGTACTTCCTGTCTGCGATATTTCACCGCTTTGCATAGCACAAAATCTCTCTTGAAATCGATAGCTTCATTCCCTTCGAGAATTTTCAATAAAATAGAATTTCCCAAGTTGGGGATTTCAACTCTACAGATCTACAGATTTCAACTCAGACTCTAGGGATTCCAATCGATCGTTTCTATAATAATGTTGAAAAGAATTAATAAGAATTGAAAGATTGAAAGAGGTGAACGAATGATTCCACTGAAAATCGACTCGATTTCCAAAATGACTTTCCCACGCGGTTGTCGGTTAATTACCTGTCGCCTTATTCGCAACGCAACCATGATCTATTTAGAGTTCCGAACGTTTGAGCTCGATACGACGAGAACCGTGTCAAAGATGCATTAAAGTACGATCCAAAGTTCTCGATAAATCAGCGCGCCGTCCGCGGCAAGGATCAAGGACTGCCCGAGATTCCCCGGTTCTTCGCGTTCCGAGGAGGCGCGTATGGTTGACACAGAATAATCGTCGAGCGAAGTATCCAGTGCGCGGCAAATGCACTTCGAAATTAGCGATCGCGCCGCTGAAAGTAGGTTAGTGGGGCTCGCCGCTGATTTTTCGTCGAGCAAAACGAAAACCGAAGGACGTCCAAGAAGCTGACGTCGGTCCTTGACGGGCGGAATTGCTTCCGGTTCGCTAGGGGGACGTCACCGTGCTCTGTTCCCCCGATGAGAAATGCGTTCGCTCCCGATACAAATTCGAAAACTTTCCACCGTAAATCGGACAGAAGAATGGACGAAAGAAACGGGAGAAAAAAAGAAAACGGAATGCGTTCGACTCTCGGAGCGTGGATCTTCGGAGCCGGAAGTTAGGAGGAACGGGGATCGGGAGCGGAGAATTTGGAGAATTCTCGTGCGATCGAGCGGGATCGATGATCGATGGCGAGGCAACGCTGCGAGCATCGCCTCCCAACCTCCCCCCCGCCCCGACTGTCCGCGTGGAAAAAATGACGCGATGATGATCTCTGTTTCAGTCTGAGCCCGAGCGTAGAGAGAAGCTCGCTAACTCGACTAAAAGGTACTTTGTGACTGGTTATTGACTGTTCTATATATATCTATATATATATATATATATATATATACATATCTATATTTTTCTCTATATTTATTATATACGTATACATATACGTACGTGGACGTGTACAGTACGTGAGTGCGTGTACACGCGGCGGGCACGATCGCGCCGCCTAGGGACTTTTTTCTCGGGGTCGCGCGGCACACCTGCTTGCGTTCACCTTCTCGCGGGAAATTTGAATCTTTGAATACTGGGGATGAGCGTGAATGAATGTAATTATCGAGTAAGTCGAGAAAATGAGATAATTGTGGGAAAATGTTGGTTTCGTAGTAGAAATTTGGAACTTTAACTGAGCACTTTGTTAATGGTGACATTTTTTGGCTCGGAGAAAGTGATCATTTGTTTATCTTTATTTTATTGTATATCGTAAAGTAACTTATTCAAAGGAATGTTCGAAAGTTCTTTTTCATTCAACCAAATGAAACATTCTTATTCCATTAAAAATTTGTGTTTGATCGTTCATGTTTCTTAGGCAACAGAGTTTCATATATTAATTTAAAAATCTTATATAAAAATCGGAACGAAATAAAAATTTGCTTCGGTATATTAGTGAACATTCCTTCTGCTCTAGATAAAAGACTTTTTGAGTAGTTTAAAGGTCTGTCGATAACGGACAAGATGAAAACGCCGGGGATCGATGATCATTTTCATACAAAGCACACGCACGCAGGTGAACGCGCGGGATCACGATCGATAATGGATATCGATGGATCCTCGATCCGTCGTACGGTAAAAGCCCTCGTGCCTCGGTGCAGCCGGGGCCACGTGTCCGTGTCCCGCGTGTACGTACACACAATGCATCACGAT